TTAGAATTCCTGCCTCGTTCTTGAGGTAGAACCCTCGGATAAACCCACTCTTGTTACTTTCTATGTGTTATTTTTTTAACTTATACGAAAGTTATACAAGGTTAAGTATTGTATTTTTGTGAACAAACATGTCAAAGTATTTAATAAAACAATTTTTTTACTTATATACATTTCTTTGTGGCAACAAATTGCACTACCTGTATTTTAAATCACAGTTCATCGAATTGATTGATTAACTGTATGAATTGTTTATAAATACACAACTTTTTTGTGGTTTACTACCATATTGATGAAAAGGTACCTATTATAAAACAATGTTATTGTTTACGAAAATTCATAAATGCCAGTGGTTAACACATTAGTACATGTTAATGTTATAGAAATAGTGAATTAGTGATATGGACGGTAAATATTTCGTTTTAAGAGTAATACTTATGCTGAGTATTTTAAGAAACTCTAAAAAACCATTCTTTGATAATCCAACCGTGAAAAATCACGTGCTACTACACTTTGTCTTCAACCGGAAATTATCTCAATCCTTGTTTCAAAGAAATTTAACAAGGATACTCCAAAATAAACATCAAGCCAAGCACAGGAACACGAAAGCTTTTGTTTGTCCTCCCTTCTATAATAACTGATACAGTTTGAACATTACCAATGTATTTTAACTTGGAGAATATTTTAAAACTGAAGTGAAACTTAAAAAAAGAAATAGACAGTTGTGTAGACAGAAGGTTGTTTATAAGCACTTTTGATGGACCATAATGTTTGTCAACAGTAAAGGTGTTTGTAGTTCAGCAACCAGAGACAAAGCCTCTGAGGTGTTTGTAGATGTTAACTTAACGTCAACTGTACGTAATCCTATTAGCAGCGGCAGTCCTCATAAGTGTTTATTCAAATAACAAACCTTTTTTTTTACATAAAAAAAAAACCTATTCCTACTGTCCAAGAGGATATAATTTGTCTAAATTTGAAATCAAATATAATTTACTTGAAAAACAGGTGGTAATGGTATCTAAATGGAAAAGAAACACTTCTGATAATGTGATGGCATCTAAGTTAAACATATTTATAATTATAGTAGGCCTAGTGAAGAAGATTAAGGAAAGTAATAGATCACGAACATGTTTTTATACTTTAAACACGTAAACACACAAGTGTGACATGTACTGGTATGTCTTTAAGTAGATTAATCCAACGACTAGTGTAAAGAGCTCCACATAGTAATAGTCACGAACTGTAGTCGCAAGACTCAAATGACAACCTGAACTACGTGACTCTATCTCAGCCTAGGTCTACACAACGCTACACCGACTTAGACTGTATATTGTTGTAATTGTGTCAATTTTATTATATTGTGTTGGTATTGTAGTAAATAATATATTATGATTTCCCCTGGTTATTACACATATACATTAACCAATAGTCTAGATAAAACTTATGCCCATCATAGCCTTTCAATGGACAGTCTTATTTCCCCATTTTTGTCATCCAAACGATAGTTTTTATTGTATCTGTGTGCATGTGCGTGCATTATTTATTATTTACCAACCTTAAATTGAAGTGACAAGAATACATCTAGTAGGTACCGGCTTGATAATGACTTCAATGTTGAGTAAAAACTAGTCGCAACACCTCACCAATGCAGATCGCATGAATGCAAGTATAAAAAAAATTTTATTTATGATCAGGAGGCTGAATGTAAATAAAATGATGATTAAATAGATATTATAAAAATAGTGTAAAATTCAGCTTTTACTTATAAACAATTCAAAACGTTAGATAGCCTAGAGCTAGCCAAGTTTAGAATGATCAATCCCTCGTTCAGGAGATAGAATGCAAGATAAACCCACTCTTGATGTTGTTATGTGTTATTTTTTAAATTTTTACGAAAGCAATACATGGATATTATGTTGAAGTAAAATATTTTCGTTGGTGAGTATCTCAAAATATTTCCCATTTACAAATAAATACCTAAACGTTTAAGTATTTAATTGATAAATGAAGAAACTTACACGTAAAATAAGTTTAAGCTAAAAGTGTTAAAACTACTACTAAAATATTTTTTTAATGTGTACTTTTTGGTCAGGCTATGCTTAGCCCTGAGGCTCAGCGTGCTAGGTAAATAAAGACACCTTGAGCTGGATTAACTATTGATTAAAAGCCAAACATGGAGATATTACTGTTAATTACTAGTTTTTGCAACCTAATTGTTTCTTTTGTACAGTGATATACTGTACTTAAATATAATACAAAGGCAGTTTGACTGGTAACTCATATTCGATAGTATTCTCATTATGTTAGAGGTTTAATAATCAAATGTATAAAAATACCAATATACTCTAAGATTCCTATATTTATTTTTAATAGTATTAGCAGTTTCTTAACGCTACTAGTAAAAAAAAAGATAAGGGGTTGTAACGAAAAGTCTTTAGCTGTTTACTCGCCTTTAATTTCCCAAGTGAAACACAATTTCCCTTTTGAATGTCTTTAGGTGGTGTTTAATTTAAAGTAAATCGGTGGCGTTATTAGGAGTAAAATAATAATTTAGTAAAAAAAGACTTGATAGCAAACTAAGTGATTTAATTACTATATTTTGTTTTGAACCGGTGTACATTATTTCTTTTCGTGCATAATTAGTAAAATTATGTTATTGGAAAAGCCCTACAGTGATGATTATTCATATAGACTAGTTATGACACTGTACTGTACAATAAAGAATATTCACATTTATTAAAATTACTCAATAGTGGAAACAGCCTGATACACTATTAGGTAAATACGAGTAAAGAAGCCTTAGTTATGGCCAATGAACACAGGAAAATTATAATAAGGCATCACAATAAAGTAGTAAGGGGAAGATTTTGTACAATATTGTGGGATAACTAGGGATTTATTTGGTCCATAGCCTGGCGCTTAGAAACATCAACACATCTTACTTACAAACATACACATAGGCCTACAATCATACACATACAAACATATACATTAAAACATACACAGGAAAACTTTCTCAATTTTAAGATACAATGAATACGAGTCTTAAATAAAAGCTCCCTTCCTTTTTAAAATATTAAACATATTTATTGAAACCGTTAAATAAATTACTGTATATTGAAAACAATATCCATTAAACGAACTATAAAGTTTCTAACGCAGTGTGTTTAATTCGTCAGTGTTAGTTTATCAGTGGTAACTAATAACAATAATTTACATCTCATCATGTCTTTTTTGTACTTTAAATACATTTTAACCTTTTATTAAGATAATTTTTAATTAGATTTTAACCTTTCTTCCTCATCTGAATTACAAAATAAGCATAGGATTGATTTAAGTGTGGTGCACAGTTTATTATCTAATGACTAAGAAACATTTCTGAAATGTGACTGCAAGTAGTAGGCCTAGTAAATATAATTAAGGAAAGTATTGGATCACGAAAATGTTTTTATACTTTAAACACGTAAACACACAAGTGTGACATGTACTGGTATGTCTTTAAGTAGTTTCATCCAACGACGAGCGTTAAGAACTCTACATAGTAATAGTCACGAACTCTAGTTGTAAGACTCAAATGACAACCTGAACTACGTGACTCTATCTCAGCCTAGACCTATACAGCGCTACACTCCCTAAAACTGTATATTTGTAGTTGTGTCAATTTTATTAGACTGTGTAGGTATTGTAAGGTATCATGAGTTTTTCTGATAAACGTGTTTATGACACTACGTAGTGCAGCATAAATAACTTTCCATCCAATCATTTTTCAAAAGGATAAAAAACTAATTAATTGAATTCAATTAATTGAAAAAACATAAAACATAAAACACCGTCCAGCCAACTAATTTGTTGATGTAAAGGATTGATATTATAACCAGCAAGTCCGAACGAAACAGACAGTGATGGGAACTATTCTTTATAACTTGTCTTCTGCAGTAATGTCCTTAGTCTAAACAAAGTGAGTTCTGTTTGATATTTACCTTTAAATATTACTAAAATTTAAAACAGGGAAGATTTCAATATGAATTAGTGTTTGGTATTTGTTTTAATAGTGATTTATACTTGCTTAAACAGTATTTATGATGCGATAAATTCCGACACATTTCGGTGTATTAATATCATAAATAATAGAACTGACTAAGTAGAAGCACAATAATTTGTCCAAAGTTTAATTAATTTCATTTGAAGTAATTAATATGCCGTGTATTATTATATTAATAATGTGAATATGTAACGGGGATTTTATTTAAGAAAGGCAATTTTTGCCTGAGAGACATAATTTTATTTTCTTCTGTACACGAATTATTTTATTCTATAGTATTCATATTTCGAAAAAAAAACACTTTCATACCTTCCTTATAGTAGCAGCAAACCCAAGTACTAATTTAATTCAGTTTTATTAGAATAGAAAGAAAATAAATCTGTCTATAATGGAAGATTTTAGTGAAAATCCAATCACGTAAATGGGAGATCGTTTAGTCTGCAGGCTTGCTATGGCAGATGTTACGTATGAGTGTATTTATTTAAAAATTGAATATTAAAAGTGATTATTCATAGGTAAATTACGAAGGACCACCGCAAATTACATTTCGGAAAATAATAAGAAACTTGAAAACATGTACCTTTACAAACTCCAGTGCAGACGTAGGGGGAAGTGGGAAAGATGGCGTATTTGAACTTCAGATTAGTGCGGCGCTGTGACGAACCCTTGGTAGTTGGATGTTGGATGAGACGATTTTCGCTCTTCTTTCTGCTTGAAGGCTTGATGTTCGCACGTAACGCTAAGTCTTTTATTGTTCGTGGCCACTTTAATTACACGGAAGTCGCGACACCGCACAGGACACTTTGATTACTTGATGGTGCATGATTCGTGAGTTAATAAAACGCAAATAAAAATACTACTTGTCACTAAAACAACAAAAATAACTTCAGAATAAGATTGGGCAATATTAATTGCAAAAATTCCAATCTTCGCATTGGTGACCTCGCCTTAGTACATCAGCCTACTCCTCCTCTTTCTTGGCCGTTAGCTCGGATTGTGGGTGTCTCCCCTGGAAAGGATGAGGTTGTACGGGTCGTCCACTTGAAAACTCAACAAGGACTCTTGACTCGACCAGCTCACAAGGTTTTTCCTTTGCCTGCTTATCAAGAGTAACTTCAAGAACTTTAATTTGTAAATAGTATTTTTTCTCAACCACTTTGGAAAGAAGATTTATTTTATTGGAATATTATCTTTGTGTTGATTTGTTGAATCCTGGAGGATTCAAGGCCCCCTGTATGTTTAGTATTTAGAAGGAAAAAGGAACTATTAACTTTATATTAATTCAAAAGAAGAATATTTATTTTATATTAAAAACAAATGGTAATGCCAAACACCAAAGCCACAGAACCCAAGTCCATTTTATCTTCAGACAACAATCTTATCGCTCTATTCATGTCATTGTCCTTATCGCTTGTCGTTCGCCTCAGACAGGTATCCTGGTCATTCTCTCTCTGTCCACGGCCCTATTAATATGGTCTAGTACCGGCCACCTCTTTTAATCTCATTTCCATTTACATTATTTCATCAAGTTGTTTCAGTTTTCATTTTTTGTTCAGTCCATTTAACCCGCTGATGGAGGGTGTGAATGTACTCCAGTTGCCATCTCTTCCAGATGCGTTGATTTAGGGCCTTGACCAAATGCCAGTGTTTCAGGCGATTATCAGGAACATCTTCCAGATTTTCATCAGGAACAGAGACAAGTGGAGCTCCGACCAAGAAATGTCCTGGAGTGAGCGCAGTGACATCTGAAGGGTCGTTTGACATTGGTGTGAGAGGTCTCGAATTAAGTATCGCCTCCACTGGAGTAGTCAGGGTCATGAACTCTGAGAGGGTTAGGACATGTTCGCCGATGACACGGCGGAGGTGATGCTTGGCACTCTTAACGGCTCCTTCCCAGAGACCACCTTGGTGAGGAGCAGCTGGGGGGTTGAAATGGAAGGTAATGTCTTGGTTTGAGGAAAATTCAAGAAAAGATGTTCGTTCAGCTGACTTGAAGAGAGCTTGAAAGGCGTTATTAGCACCAACGAAGTTTGTCCCGCAGTCCGAATATATGTTCTTGCAGAGGCCACGTCTTGACACAAAACGAGTTAGTGCAGCAATGAAGGCATCAGTTGATAGGTCAGTAGCTACTTCAATGTGAACAGCCTTTGTTACAAGGCAGACGAAGATACAAATGTACGCTTTTGTCAAACGTATTGAACGGAGGTTATGAACCTTGATGTTGAAAGGACCACCGTAGTCCAGCCCCGTGTTGAGAAATGGACGAGAAGGTGTCACTCGGGATTTTGGGAGATCACCCATCAGTGGAATTTTATTATGTGGTTTGTGTCGAAAGCAGATGACACACTTAAAAATTCGAGAGCGTATTGCGCTGCGGGCAGAAAGAATCCAAACGCTCTGAGCGAGAAGGGATTGAGTTAATTGAGGCCCTGAATGCAAATATTTCTGGTGATAGAAATCAATAAGAATGTCAATCACATGATGTTTCTTAGGTAGAATTACAGGATGCTTAACGTCTTCTGAAAGTTGAGATGCATTCAATCGTCCACCAACACGAAGTAAACCTGATTTATCAATGAAAGGATGGAGACGTCGAAGTGATGAATTGGTTTTAGATGAGTTGTTCTTCAACGCTGCGATGTCATCTCCAAAAACCGTTTCTTGAACCTTCTTGAAGATTGTCAGTCGACTTTGAGTTAACTCAGATGAGGTGAGAGGGCCTGAGCACCTTTTTGAGTGCCGGAGGTTATAGATGAATCGTAAAATGTAACCCATCACTCGTGTAAGTTTGCTGAAGTGAGAGAATCTAGTGAGGAGTTCCCATTCTTGAGTGGGTTTTATTGTAGATATAAGAGTGGTAGGTGACTGAGGTTTATTTTCTCCTGTTTTTGTAATATCTAGAGGAGTAAAGTTTGAGGATGGCCAAGATTCACTCGAATATGGAAGCCATGGGGGACCAGACCACCAAAGTTCGTGGTTAGACAATCCTGATGGGAGGATACCTCGTGACGCGCAGTCAGCGGGGTTATATTCACTGGATATGTGTCGCCAGCAATGATTAGGTACTAATTCTTGCACATGCGCAACCCTGTTCCCAACAAAGGTCTTCAATCGATGAGGTGGTGTCTGCAGCCAAGTTAGGGTGATAGTAGAGTCACACCAGAGAATGATGGATGAAATCTTTAATTTTATCTTGTAAATAGAAACCACATAGGCTACTATTTGGGCAAGAAGATGGGCGGCGCATAGTTCCAAGCGTGGAATTGTAAGTTTTTTCAAGGGAGCAACCCGAGTCTTTGACATAATCTGTCTGATTGTGACAGTCCCATCACTGAGTTCACAGCGCAAGTAAACAACTGCAGCATAACCATTCTCGGAGGCATCTGAGAAGCCATGTAAGGCAGTAGTGCATGCTCGTGACACTTGAAAAGCTCGAGGAATTGAAATCTCTCGCAGGCTGTCTGTAGATGAAGTAAAACTTTGCCACATTTCGAGTAGGGCAGCGGGAAGTGTTTGATCCCAATCCAATCCTTTGGTCCACAAGAGCTGCATAAAACGTTTTGCCCACATCACAATTGGGGAGAGGAAACCACAGGGGTCATATATTTGTGCAATCACACTGAGCACCTGACGCTTTGTAGTTGCACTTGCGGAAAAATTAAAATTGTATGTAAAACAGTCAGTAACTGGAGACCAGTGAATGCCTAAAATGGTGTGATGAGGCTGTGAACTATCTTGAAGGAACACCGGAGTCTCTCGATGACCATCTGGAAGATCTAGAAGAAGTCGACTGGAGTTGGAAGTCCATTTCCTTAGCTCAAAGCCTCCACGTGCTAATATGGCGATGAGTTGTCTCTGGAGTCTTAAAGCTTCTTCTTCGGAATCTCCACCAGAAATCACATCGTCAACGAAGGTTTGTGTTCGAAGAATCTCTGCCGCTTCAGGGAACGAGTCGCCTTCATCATTGGCAAGTTGGTGCAAAGTCCTGATTGCGAGGTACGGTGAGCAATTGACTCCATAGGTTACTGTGGTAAGTCTGAAGGTAGAGGGTGGTTGATCTGGACGAGTATGCCATAGGATATAGTGAAACTTCTGGTCCTCAGAATGGACTTTAATCTGTCTGTACATCTGCCTTATATCACATGAAAAAACTACACTATGAGTTCTAAACATGAGCAAAAAGTCACAAATATTGGTTTGCATTTTTCTTCCTGTAAGCAAAATATCATTGAGAGATGTACCATTGGAGGTTTTTGCACTAGCATCAAACACAGTACGTAGTTTAGTGGTACTGGATGATTCCTTCAACACCCCATGATGAGGTAAATAGTAATGCGGGGCGGATAAGTCAACATTATGAGCAAGTTCCATATGTCCCGAAGACGAATAATCAGACATGAAGTCGAAATATAGAGATTTGAATTGAGGTTGAGCCTTAAACTTTTTCTGAAGTGAGTGTAGTCTTTTCTCGGCAGCAAAGACAGAATTTCCTAGAGCAGGGTGTTCAGTCTTGAACGGTAGTCGGACGCAATATCTGCCAGATTGGTCCCGAGAGTGAGTGGAGAGGAAGTGTTCTTCACACATTTTATCATCATCTGATTGCTTTGATGCAACTGGTGGTTCCTCCTGGTGCCAAAACCGCTGGATAGAATTGTGCAGTTCAATGTCATTGACTGCCAAAAGCATGGTTGACATGTGAGAACTAGTGTCATCATCCAGCTTGATTGCACAGGGTGCGTCACCCATTACCAAAAATCCAAAGTGTGAGCCTATTAAACTTGGTAGGTTAGGCCCGAGGTTGTGAACTGCTTGAGTGAGCATGAGAGGGAAAAGTGATCCACCTAAAAGAACATCGATCCCACCAGGTAAATGGAACATGGGATCAGCCAAAACGTAAGAATTTACCATCTCAATGACACCAGAGGATATAGGCATGCGGGGTAAATCAACACATATTTTATCAAGAATTAAAAAGTTTGATTCAGTAGAGATAGTTTTTCCATTCAATGTCTCTACCTTGAGAGAAGTGGCACCTTTACATCGAGTAGGTATTTGAGAGAGGCCTACTACACTAGGCGCACTTTTTGTGCGTGAGACACATAACAGTTGAGCAGCATGTTCTGTGAGAAAACATGATTGACTACCAGAGTCAGCGAGAGCTCGAAATACATGGCTAACTCCGGTGGGCGATACCAGCTTCACAAGTAAAGTGCCCAACAACACTGTTGAGGGATGATGTGTTGTGGAACATCTTTCTTGACTAGTCAGGGCTGATGAGAGTTGAGATGATGAATTTTCTTGATGAGCTGAGGAAGAATCACGAGTTGAAGTCTGAGGCGTAGCCTGGTTAGATGATTGACGAGGTTTACCATAAAAATGTAATAAAGTATGATGATTCTGATGGCATGTGTAACAGCTCGACTTAGATTTACAGTCACTCAGTAGATGATTCCCTAAACACGATGTGCACCGCTTATTCTCCTTTACAATCTGGTAACGGGCCTTAGGATCCTTATCTTTAAAGACCGAGCATGTATACACCTTATGATCAGTTTTGTTGCATACAAAACAATTAGTGTACTTAGGGTAGGATTTGCTTTGATCACCAGAATGATAAGTCAGCATAGACACCTTATTACCTACCTATGATTTGTTGAATCTTGAGTTAATATATGAATTATCAGATGTTGTTTTCACATTATGACTGCTGTGGAGCTTTGCTTCTTCAATTTGATTACATTCTTTAGTGAGAAACTGAATTAACTCAGTCACATTAGGTAAGGCAGGGTTATCACCATCACTGTCAGTGGGGTTACTAATTGCACGAAAAACCTCAAATCGTTTCCTTAAATCACTATCCAGTTTTCTCAAAAGCATGGCAGACAAAAGGTGATTATTTTTTGTAGCAATTTCACTATTTAAGCCTTTGAGTGCTTGAATGTTTTCATTATATAAATTTACAAATTTTCTCATTTGTTTTGAGGTGTGATTTACTGAGGGTAAGTCAAGAATCTGATTTAAGTGCAGAGTAACTAATCGTCTAGGCGAATGATACCGCTCTTTCAACAAATCATAGGCTACTGTGTAGTTTGCATCAGAAATAGGCAGGGATTTAATTAAATTCAAGGGTTCCCCAGAAACAATGCCTAATAAATACTGAAATTTCACCACATCAGACAAAGATGAGTTTTTATGAATGCTAGAATCAAACAAATTTATAAAGGACACCCACTCCAGAGGTTCACCACTGAAATGTTTAAGTTCAAGCTTGGGTAAGCGTACAACCGAAGGTTGTGGAGTCGGAGTCTTATCACTCTTATTTTTTGAGGATTGAAGTTTACTTTCAAGGTTGGCAACATTGGCATTAATGTAGTCAATTAATTCATCAACACTATTTAGAGGAGCATAGTTGGGTTGAAAGTTAGGATCTTTTGCTAATTCAAGTTCATGGCAGGCATCTAAAGCCTCAGAGAAATTATCTCGGAGTTTATTAACAGACTTAGCCCGAATCAAAAACCTTTGCTGAATATCCTTATCATACACTTTCTTGGACAAATCATATATCATCTGAATTTGAGTGAAGGCATTATCCTTTCTTGCATTTACAACAGCAAGGGAGGTAGCCATGGTTGCCTAGCAATCTTCTGTTTTAACCTTAATTTAGGCCTATTTCAAAAAATTGAGAGTAAATATTAATAAATTGCTATATCTTAGTGAGCACTGAAGGTTAGGTTCATGAACCAGTAAATAACCACCTTGAGTTGTCTTTATAAAATAATAAAGCATAGGCTATGATGATAAAAATATAATAAAGTTGTCCAAGTGTAGTACTGTAGGCCTAACTATTTAAACTTGGAATAATTAGTTATATTTCAGTAAATAGGCCTACTTACAGCCACAGTCCAAAACATGACAGTATTTCATTATTCAAATCAATCAGCAGAAAGTCCATTTTCTTCTTGTATAGATTATTCAATTTTATTTTGTAACACTTTAAGTTGAAAAAGTAGAAAATATTCTCAACCCATTAACTAAAATACATTTCACTTTATAAGTCCACTACATAAAGTAAAAATAATGCCAAACTAACCACTGCCACTTTGAAGTTGAAGTTTGGTCGGCAAAATGAAAATGTAAACAAACAAGATAATGACAGTTTACGATCAGCTGATCGTTGCAGAAAATATTGAGTTTGCCGAAACAGCAGCGCCTATGCAAGACGCGGAGAGTTAGAGAACTAATATTGCATGTAATGCACACTGGGAATATTGTTGTGACAATATGATTGGCTGAGCTGGAAC